ATATATATATAGCAGAATCACTTTGCTTTACATCTGAAACTTTGTAAATCAACTACACTTGAATTTAAAATATTATATTCCTAACATTGACATTATCTTGATGATTCTTCTAAGAGAGGGAGCTGCCTTTGTTTGGAAGAAACACACTCGTAAGTTGTATGGGAAGTTGAAGCATCAAGAGTCAGAATGTTAGCTGACTCAAAGTTCCAAAGGGGTGTGTGTGTGTGTATTTGTGTGTGTGTTGGTGTGGGAAGGGTGGGAAAGGAAGGAAGTTGTTCCACATAAGACAAGGAAAGAATTTGTTTTACCAGCGGGGGAGGCGAAGGGATAAGAGAAGAAAGAAATGGGAAGGACTAATCCAAGTCAGTCACACTGAGGACCGCAGGGACTCGATGGGTCCCTGGTCACTGGTCACGGAAACACCCTCAGTGTTTAAATAAATCAATCCGCCAAAGGGCATTTTAAGAGTTGTGAAATCTACCGTTGCATTTGGAGTTGTTTGCACTTTAATAATATTAGCATTTTCTCTGTTGGCTCTCCCTGCTCTATAAACAAACAAATTTGTTCATACATTTCGGTGTCTCATGATTTTTGAAAAAGTCTGTGAGAAATTTAAAAAAAAAAAAGTTTGCACTTTTTTTGTTTTTTGGAGAAACTCAAAAGTTTTGGCTAGGAAGGACATAGTGCCAAATGGGAAACAGCACCCAAAGAGGTAAAAACCCAAGGAAATGAATGCCCAGGAGGTGAAGGTAGAGATGAAAACATTAGTCCTTGGAGAGGAAGCTTTGAACTTCTATAGGCCCTGGGAGGGAGAAATTGGAACAAAATTGATATGGATTTATTTATTTATATATTTATTCTTGGAAGAAAACTGATTTACAATGCCATGTTGGTTTCTGCCACAAATCAGCCATAATTCTACATACGTCACCGGCCTCTGGAGCCTTCCTCCCTCCTCTCGTCTCCCGCTCCACGTCATCAGAGAGCGCCAGACTGGGCTCCCTGTGCGACACGACAGCCTCTCCCCGCGATCTGTGTTACACACGGCAGTGTATGTATGTCAATACTACTTCCTCCGTTCCTCTCACTCTTTCCTTCCCCCACTGTGCCCACAGTCTGTTCTCTGAGCCTGTTATACAGAGTGAAGTAAGTTAGAAAGAGAAAAACAAGCATAATACACTAACGCATGTATATAGAATGTACAAAAAAAAAATGGTATAGATGAACCTATTTGCAGGGAAGGAATGGAGACGCAGATCTGGCTTTTAGAGAGCAAGACCTAGCTGACTTCTAGGTTTCATGTTCTCAAGACATTTCATTATCCCCACACGGCCTAGGAATTTTCCTTAGATTGTAAGCTTCTCTGGTGTTGCTGACAGGGGGCTGATGAAGGAAGGAGGGGAATCACCTCCTAATGCTGCCAAGATAGAGTTTGTTGCTTCTGGACAGTGATGCCCTCAGACCCAGGCTAGGGTGCGACCTGCTCTGGGCCCTGCACTTCAGAGGTTGCAATATGTCAGAATCACACGCAGAAACGCCTTAACTAAACATCACCCAGGTGTGCCAGTCCCTGTGGCCTGGGGGCACAGCACGATCCAGGCCCCTGAACAGTCCCTTCATTGCTAACACCATTCAGGCCCCTGGGAAATGCTTCCACATCTTCTGCCTTCTGTCCTTGCAACACAAGGCAGGTGCGTTTGAGTGCTGGGAAGGATTGCATGCTTTATCACGGTCAGCAGCGGAGCTGCAGCCACCTCAGAGAGCAGAGTGTGAGCCAGAGGCGAGCTCGAGTAAGAGAAGACACAAGTTCACTCACGGACTCCATCTCTCTCAGAGGGTATGAATGGACGGTTTCACAGAACGCCAGGTTTCTCCTTTCTGACTTCCTTCACTTTTCGAGTTTGCCTCAGCAGCACTTTGAGTCCGAGGAAGTTTGCAATATTAAGCAGTGGATTTGACACTGAATTTGTACAGATGGAGGTCTCAGTGTAACATATTTGGAGCTTGCTACTGACTATTTTAGTAGCTGAATGAGCACTGAAACATTTCTGAAAAAAATGTTTAAAATATTTAGAATGTGGGCCTTTTAAGGAAGGAAATTCTGACCCAAACTATAGCATGAAGAACTCAGATGTTTTGCTAACTGACATGTCGCTCATAAAGGGACAAATACTGTATGATTCCACTTATATGAGGCCCCTGTGTGTGTTAGTTGCTCAGCCATATTCTCTCTGTGACCCCATGGACTGCAGCCCACAGGCTCCTCTGTCCAGGGAATTCTCCAGGCAAGAATACTGGAGTGGGTTGCCATGCCCTCCTCCAAGGAATCTGACCAACCCAGGGATTGAACCCAGGTCTCCTGCATTGCAGGCAGACTCTTTGCCCTTTGAGTTACCCAGGAAGCCCCTCTAAGGCGGTCAGATTCACAGAGACAGAAAGCAGGAAGGTGCTTGCCAGGGGCTGAAGAAGAGGACAGATGAGTCACTGTTTAACGAGGACAGAGCTTCCGTTTTGCAAGATGAGGGAAGTTATGGGGATTGATGGTGGTAATGGTTATACAATGTGAATGTACTTAATGCCACTGAACTCTACCCTTCAAAACAGTTCACACGGTAAATTTGATGTTATGTGTGTATTACTGAAACTTTTAAAACTTGTGTATATAACATTGTAAATCAACTATACTTCAGTAAAATTAAAAAAACTTTTTAAACTTGCATAAACTTAAATTATATTTTTAATCTGCTTTAAAAATCATTTCTATTTGCTTTTATCAACTATACTTTATATTTTTCCTTTTTAAACTTGAATTTGTAGAAGAAAATTTATTTTATAAAATATAGAGGAAAATAATTCGTATTGCTTAACTTTTTCTATTTTCTCTACATTTCTGATCAAATATATTCACATTTTGTATATTTTGAATAGAAGTATTTTTAATAGGCGGTTAGCTTGATTATTTTTAAGCCTTCAGACACACGATAAGGTGCCATCAATTTGTCTCAAAAACAGGACCTTCCGCTTGTGCTGCTGGGTCCACCCTGAGTGCCCTGCTGCTTCCCAAGCAGCTTGGTCCCCTTGCTGTTCATCCTGGTCAGGAAGCCTTTCGGTCCATTCTCTGGCTCCTGAATGCCTAACTGTACCTCAAAGCCCAGCTTCATTGGCACCTCTTCTACGAAGCCCTCAGTCATGTCAGGCAGAATAAATGAGCCGCTTTCCATTCCCTGCATTGCTATGCCCGCCACCCACACCTCTCTGACTACACACATTTTATTACCAAACATTACCCTATTGGGCCTTCTCGGGGCAAATCTTTCCCTCATATCCTGTGCTGTAGGTCCTCTCTGAAGTACCTAGATAATATCTGATGCACTTTTCCTGAGTTGTTTTACACGTGTGGAAACTCCCCAGCAAATGAAAGATACTAACTACCTTGATGACCAGGAACAAATAGCCCCCAGGCCTCCTGGAGCCTAGAGATTGACAAGGTTCACGGTGTCATTGCCCTGTTAGGTCAACATCAACCAATTAGAGAGTTGTGCATAAGCTGATCACAGTACTCTGTGACCCCCCCTCCCTCACCTGGCCTTTAAAAAGACTTTGCTAAAAGCCTTCAGGGAGTTTGGGATTGGGTGGGGGTGGCGGGAGATTGGGCTGCCCTTCTCTGTCCCTGTAATAAACCTCTTCCTGTTCCAGACCCTGAAGCTGCCATTTGTTTGGCCTCACTGGGCACATGAACTTGCTTTCAATAGCAATTCCACTGCATTGTTGTTATTTGTTTTTCTCACATCCGTTTCTTGCTTCAGGCTATAAGCTCCTTAAAGTCAGATACTGTGTTTTATTCACCTTTACTTCCCATTTCTAGCCCATTGAAGATGATCACAATTGGCTGGTGAGTAAATTTATATTTTCTTGATGATGCAAAGTCATCATTTGAAATATAAGGAGCTATTGAGCTGAATAGAGCTTAGCACTAAAATTTCTCTCTAGATTTTGCTTCTGGGGACAAAACAGCCTCAGGCTGCCACTTGTCACTACTGGCTGCTTGGGTACAACTTTCATCGTCTTCCTGATTTGCTGCTGGAGAAGATGAAGAACAAGTGAGTCGTGTGTAAGAAGGAGCTGACAGCTCACCTGCAAGGACGACACTTTAGTGCATGAGATTTGTGACAGCTGCTGCAACGTCATGCAAGACTATTCCTTATTTCAGCTGTATGAAGATGCCAGATCAGCAGGGTAATCGTGTGTCTTCACTTGCCTGGCACAGCCCAGGTTTGTATTTACTGTCCCAACATATTTGTTAATATTACCCACTTTCACGCTCAATGTGTCCTAGTTTCACAAGAAGTCAACTACACTAAGAAATCTATGAAAAAATGTGATGTTACACTTTCCCTACCACATGTCACCATCATTTAAAAAATGGAAAATATGTTCTAACCTGATTCTGAATGATGAACGGGTCTTTCCCACACTCTCAGATCATCTTATGTTCAGCACCCTGAGAAACCTGAGTGGGAGGAGCTTCCTAGATAACCCCGCCCCCTCCCCTACTTGACTGCCCTCTCTCCTCCTCCCCTTGCACACTCACACGTGTTTGCGGAACTCGGGAAATTATACGCTTAGAAGTTACTAGAATGTAAATGGTTGAAGGGCAAGTAGTGTCCTGTTCACCTTTGTCAAAGACAATATGGGGTGGGATAAATATTAGTCTGGAAAAGAGTCTGTTTGTAACCTGGGTGGACCCAGGGTTGCCAAGAATCTTTGACTACATAACCAGCCAGTTACACGAAATATATGATTCAGGACTTGTTCAGGGAATACAACCCAACACTTAGCCTCCTTGGAGCCCCCTTGGATGGATCCTTTCCAAGGGGCCCATTTGTCATGTTAGGAATCTACTATGGTCTGAATGATATGAAACTTCTTGATTCGTTTATCCTCTTTCTTTGATTTTGGCCACAAAGCATCTTAGTTCCATGGCCGTGATTGAATGCGTGCCCCCTGCATTAGAAGCACAGAGTCTTAACCACTGGACCACCAGGGAAGTCCCCTATGTCTCCCTTTAAAGAACGAGGAGAAGGGAACTCAGGGGAAAATATCAATTCTTTATTTGTCTTTACAAGGCCAAAAAAAAAAAAGGAAAGACAAGAAAGAAAGAGAGTGAGATAATGACTCTCTACCCCCAGGTCCTGACAGAGTGGTGAGTCTCTCAGACACTTTAAGTAGGCGCCAGGGATTGTGTAAGCACTGACCGGCTGGCGGCCTGCCTAGTTCACATGACAGTGATGTCTGAAGGTTTTGGCAAGGGGAGGCAGGGTGGAGAGGTGCCTAGGATCTAAGAGATGAATGGGGGGAGGGAGAGGACCATGAGAATCCTGAAAATGAAGGATCTGGGGGCCATAGAAACCTTGATGTCAATGGCTTCCCTTTGTTCCAAGGACTGGGGACACCATGCCTAGGGCTGGGGTGTGGAAGTGAGGGAGGCCTTCCAGAAAGTATGAGCCTACGTGGCTTCTTACACGTGACTCTCATCCCAGAGCCCTGGTCTTCACTCCCAGTGTATGGAGAAGGGTAAAATGACCCTTCCCAACCACCTGCCCGGTGTCTCCCTCCATTTTCCACAGCTCAGCCAGCTGCACGGGAATTTTGAAGATTTCCGCTTGTTGGGGACTCAGGGCAGATGGAGGCAAAAACCAAAATGAGAAACGGGTTCTAACACTAAGTTCTCACTTGCTTCATGTCAGACCCTGCCCTGGATACAGTCACACGTTTTCCTTGTTTTTCTTTCTTCCCTCTCACAACAGGAGGTACTTCTGTTCCTGTGGGACACAGGAAGAAAGTAGCTCAGAGAACGTGAAATGGCCTGTCCCACCTTGCCTGTGAGTGGCAGAATCAGGATCGGAACCCAGGGATTTCTGGATCTTTCCAGAGGGGTTGGCAGCTGTGCGGCCACGGGTACACGGGACATTCTCCACCGACAACCCACAGTCCCCTCCCTGCATGTCTCAGCAGCTCTCCCGTCCCCCACCCACTGCCCTCTTCTCCACCTGTTCATTTCCAAGCCACCCTGCGAAGCCTGTTGCAGACGTCCTGTTTACATACGATGTCCCAATCTCAAGGTTGCTAGTATTTTCTATTTCCCCAGTCCTGTATGAATCTTTTGCAAGATACATAACCTTTTTTTTTTTTTTTTGCTAAGAGAAGTGTTTTCCTTATTTTTTATTTTCCCTGATATCAGAAAATAAGTATATAATATAGTAATATATTTTCCATAAAATTTTTCATAAAATGTTCCTATCGAGTTCTAGGGGTCAAAGGATGGGACACAGACAGCCCTTCAACTTGGCTGGTGTGAGAATTAGCCTTTCATCCACCTCCCTCGCCACACATTGAGTCTCTGGGCAGTGGCCAGTGTTTGGCTATCTTTGTGCCCCAGCACCAGCTCAGGAACTCTCAGTAAATGCACCTGGCATATAAAAGTGCTTTGTATGCCCTAAGATTTAATTTAATTATTTAAATTAAATTATTTAAATTAAACCTTATTTAATCCTCAGATAAATCCTCTGAAATGACTGTTATTATCCCTGCTTTGCAGGTAAGGAAACCAAGTCACTTGAAAGTTAGGGATCCTGTGAAGTGGAGAGCCTAAAGGTAGACCCACACATGTTCAATGACTCAACTCCACTCCCTCCTCTTTATGCTATTAGATAAAACACCACCTGATTGTGGGAAATAGGCTCAGCAGTGAAGAATCTGCCTGCAATGCAGGAGAGGTGGGCTCAATCCTTGGGTCAGTAGGATTCCCTGGAGAAGGAAATGGTAACCCACTCCAGTATGCTTGCCTGGGAAATCCCTTGGACAGAGGAGTCTGGTGGGCTACAGTCCAAGGGGTCAGAAACAACTTATCGACTAAACAACAATAACAAATGAGTCAAATACCAATGTAAATGATGTCTCTCTAGGGTTCAATGTGCTATTAACTTGCATTCTTATACCCATTGTGTCCCTGAAGGTCATGACATCCATCTCACAGAAGGTGAGCAATATTGACTGATTCATTCATTCATTCAACAAGCAAGCAAGCATATGCTGGCCTCTGCTGGGTGCAAAGCCCTGCAAGGTTATAATGATGGACCTGACATCGTCCACGCCACAGGGAAACTAAAGTCTAGAACTGAATTCCATTTGACTGCAGGTATCTATTCCATTTGACTGCAGGTATCTATTGAGCACCTACACTGCATAGGAACCTGCACTAGGATTTGGAGAAAGGAAGATAAACAGCCATGGTCCTTCCTTCTGGAACTCATTAGAGTTGACTGTAAAATGCCATTAAATCCAGACACTGTGAATTCTTTCCAATGTGCTCCAAAGTTAACTCAGGTCCATGACCAGGACACCAGGCTATGTCACAGCTCCTACCCATGCAGCTACTGCAAGTCTGGCCTTCCATCCTCTCTTCTGGGGCCCTCAGGAGCAAAAATGTAGGCACTTCCTCTGTTTCTTCCCAGTAGAATAATTCAGCCACCTTATTACTTTACTGAATTCATACCATGACCCTAGGAGGATTGTTACTCTCGCATTTTTACAAATGAGGAGATGGAGGCCCAGAGAGGTTAAGTCATTTTCCCCAGGTCACACAGCTAGGAGGGGAGGGAGCCGATCTGAACCTGAGCCATCTGGGTATATTGATGCTGGGGCGCGAACACTCCATAATAAAGAGAGAGGGAGAGATGATAACACTCCGAGTGACTGGAAACAATTATCCAAGGCATATGAGGCCCCGTGTGGGCTTCAGAGTTGACTTCTTGGCCTTGTTGATACGTTCAACTGTCTGCACAGGCAACATTGATTTTACGCACACAGGCCTAGTGCCAGTTGGGTGGTTGCAGCCAAGATGAAGAGAGAATTAAAGCCTGATCTGGCAAATTCTGACCAAAAGATTGGCTACTGGGATAGAGGGGAAGAATTTCCTCTATCCTGCTTCCTCCCCCAACCTCATCTTGGCTCAGCCTGAGACCAGGCCTTCGGGGCAAATGTGCAACTTCATTTAGAATTGATGGTTCATTGGTTTGCAACTGTGCCAGGCACTGCTTCATACGTTATATATATATTAATTTCCTGGTATTCTTTGGCAGCAGGCCATTTCATTAAGGGGACTTTGCCACACATTCAAATGATCCAATGAGGCATGTGTAAGGAAGGGGTCAGTCATTATGCTGGCTGGTTACAATGCCAGTGCTTCACATCTAATCCTTGAGGCCAGAGCCAGGGGGAGCCAAACAGGTATTTCAGTCTTCCTGCTTCTCAGGACAGTGAAAAGGAACATAATAATGCACAATGTTGGGCCCCTGACAAGGGGAGCCAGACACCTGTCCACCAAAGCGATGACTGAATGAATGAATGAACATGTGAAACTAAATGTAGTTCTGCCAGTGGTGTATGGACCAGCCACAGACTATACCAAATATGAGATTATGGCCATGTCTGGACTTTGAAATAAAGAGTCCAGCACAGGGTTCAATGGCCTGGGTTCTGAGTCAGAAGACTGAATTTGGCTCCTCCTGGAGAACTTGGACAAGTTCCTTCCTTAGTCCTTGAAAGCGTTAACTGCTCTCTGGTATAAGGAGACGGTGACCACAGCCCCTAGAGCAAGTCCAAAGCCCATAACCCACTGCCCAGGACACAGACAGATCAGTACACATGAATGGCAACCATCTTCCTGTTTTCAATAAACTTTATATTTTTCTAGAGCAGTTTTAGGTTCAGAGCAAACCTGAATAGAAAATACAGAGGTTTTCTGTACATACACCTCCCGCCTCTCCACATGCAGCACCCTTCCCAACAGTGGGCATTCCCACACTATAGTGGGACGTTTGCTACAATCCATGAACCTGCACTGATACATCATCACCACTAACAGTCCATGGTTTACCTTACATGTCACTCTTGGTGTCGTACATTCTACATGTCTGGTCAAATGATGTATCCACAATTACAGTGGCATACAGAGTAGTTTTACTGCCCTAAAAACCCTCTGTGCTCTGCTTATTCCTCTTCCCCCAATCCCTGCCAACAACCACTAATCTTCTTACTGTTTTCATAGTTTTGCCTTTTCCAGAAGGTCATAGGGTAGGAATCCTACAGTATGTAGCCTTTTCAGATTAGCTTCTTTCATTTTATAAGAAAAACATTTTAAGATCCTCATGTCTTTTCATGACTTGATAACTCATCTCTTTTAGTGCTGAATACTATTCCATTGTCTGAATGTACTACAGTTTATTTATCCATTCATCTACTGAAGGGCATCTTGGTCACTTTCAGGTTTGGGCAATTATGAAGAAAGCTGTGATAAACCACCACATGTAGATTTTTGTCAGGACATAAGTTTTCAACTCATTTGAGTAAATATCAAGAAGTGCATTTGCTGGATTTTATAGTAAGAGCATGTTTACCTTTGTAAAAAAAGAAAAATCACCAAATTGCCTTCCAAAGTGACTGTCCCATTTTTCATTCCCACCAGCAATGAATAAGAGTTCTTACTGCTCCATATCCTCATTAGCATTTGATGTTGTCAGCATCCTGGAGTTTGGCTATTCTAATAGGTGTGTCGTGATATCCTATTGTTGTTTTATTTTGCAATCCCCTAATGACATGATATTGAGTCATTTTCTTATTTTTTATTACCCCATGGGGTTTTTGGAAGGATTAAATAAACCAACAGAAAAGTGATTAGCACAGTGTCTAGTCCATAATAATAGTTCAATATACTGTAGGTTTAAAAAGGAGAAATGCTATTACTGGTATATTGAGACACCTTGTTTTCTGGGGCTAGAGGATAGAGGGTCAATTTGANAGAAAAGTGATTAGCACAGTGTCTAGTCCATAATAATAGTTCAATATACTGTAGGTTTAAAAAGGAGAAATGCTATTACTGGTATATTGAGACACCTTGTTTTCTGGGGCTAGAGGATAGAGGGTCAATTTGACACTCTTGACTGATGCTCAGTCAGTTACTACTCTTGATAGATACCCTTTACACACCCCAAACATAGCACTCATCCACTTATATCATGATTACCTATTTTCATATCTGTCTCTCCCATTTCCGGAATTCCTTGAGGCCAGGGCTAGGTCTTCATCTATGTTCATCCCCTGTACCTAGGACAGGGCATGGTACCCAGTAGGTGTCAAGTCATATTTTTTGAACTAAATCGAGAATATTGACTCATATTGGACTTTGGTCCAGTGCACACATAGACTTGGATTTAGAAAAATTTAGTCAGAGAAAACACACTGTGAGATATGCACAGCTGGGCACTCTGCAATCTGCATACCGTCTGCACATCCCAAGACTTCTGCCATGGACTGTGGTGCTGTGACAGGTCAGAACGAGTGCTAGGATGTGCGGGCCGTGGCCAGGATGGTGGGACATGGAAATGAACATATGGATGGCACTGAGATGAGGGCTGCCCTCCATGCCCTGAGGATTCAGGCCCCGCCCTTATCCTTCCAGAACCACCCACCTCCCCTCCCTCAGTACCATAAAATAAAATAAAACAGAATGGAATGAAATAAAATACTAAAATAAACACTGCCCTCTTTCTTTCTCTAATGGGGACCTTGGCTTTTGAATGTAACAAAAATTCTCACAGAGAAGGCAGCCAATTGCCACTAAGGAAAACGTTTATGAGAAATTGCTGGTTAGCCATATATTTGCCAGTATTTTAAGGTCATTGATTAATTAAATTCTCTCAAGGCCCCTTGGAGGGAAATGATTACAAATGCAGTTACCTCCATAGCCCAGATCAGGATCCTGAAATTAACAGAATTAACAGAGAAAAGGGAAGCTTGTTCTGAAGCAAAGCTCAGAAAAAGAGAGAACAAGCCCCCACTCTGTGCCCGTCCCATATGCCTGTGCTCCCCACACCTTGCTCCCCAGTATGTTTTTCCATCATGCATTCTGCTCCACATTTGATTTATTGTTCAGCTGACATCAAACCCAACAATAGCATAATTAGAACGTTGAGCTGACGGTGCCAGAGGGAGAGTAATTATTTGCTGAAAGATGAGTTGTGATAAAGGAGCAGCACACAGGCCTAGCTTTCTTGTGCCAAAAGCCTGCTGCTCCTAACTTGTTGACACCAAAATAGAAAGGGAGATTTTGCCTAATGATGGCATTTTTTCTTGGAAGATGCAGTTTACATTTTCTTTGTTAGAGACCAGGTTCACCAGGGCCTGCCTGACTGCCTTCCCATACTGGGTCTACAGAGAGAGCTGGGAATGAAGCTCTTGGAAGCCAGACTATCTCCTGGGACAGTACTCTGCCTGCCCAGGACAAGGCCACCCTTCCCAGTGGACATTGCACTTGCTGCTGGAATGAGCTGCAGTCTTGGGGCCACAGTGGGGGATGGGTGCTCTGTAGGCAGGCTCAGCCCCGGACTTTGGGGAAGAGTTATGCACAATGAAGGTAATTAG